CTCAGGAGAGAGTGGAGACAAAAGGGGAGGGGGTGAGTTTCACACTATGAGTTGGGATGAGATGGCCAAGGGATTAAGCATAGAAAAGAACTGCGCCGGGCCTGGCACAATGGCCTATTGGCTAAATCTTTGCATAGCATCTGCTGGGATCATATATGGGTTCTGGTTCATGTCCCAGGTGTTCCACTTGCCTGCCATCTGCCTGTTTGTGGCCTAGGAAAGCAGCTGAGGTCAGCCCAAAGCCTTGGGACCCTGCACCCATGTGGGAGACCCAGAAGCTCCTGGCTCCTGGCTTCAGATCAGCTCAACTCCAGCCGTTGCAGCCACATGGGGAGTGAACCAGTGAGCGGAAGATCTTTCTCTTTGTCACTCCTCTCTGTAAATATGCTGTTTCAATAAAAAAGATAATTCTTAAAAAAATAAAAAGAGAACTTGGCCCCCTCAACCTAAGTTGAGAGCCAAACAAAGAAGATAGGAGGAAAAAGACCAAATAAGAAAGAATCTAGACCTGGGCTTCCCATATACAGCAGCTGTTTGCCACATGAGGCTGTTTTTAATTAAAACTTAATTCTTGGGCCCAGCGTGATAGTGCAGTGGTTGAAGTCCTCTCCTTGAATGTGCAAGATGGGCACCAGTTCTAATCCTGGTGGCCCTGCTTCCCATCCAACTCCCTGCTTGGGGCCTGGGAAAGCAGTCAAGGATGGCCTGAAGCCTTGGGACCCTGCACCCACGTGGGAGACCCAGAGGAAGCTCCTGGCTCCTGACTTCGGATCGGCACAGCTCCAGCTGTTGTGGCTGCTTAAAGAGTGAACCATCAATCATATTAGCCACATGTCAGGAGTTCCTTTCACGTGGCTAGTGGGTACTGAACTGGACAGCACTGATGGGAGACCATCTGTACTGCTGAAGTTCTATTGAACAGTGCTGTTCCAGAAGCCGGCTGAAGAAAGCAGTAGCTCACAGATAAGGAGTGTCAAAAATGGCACTTAATTGTTAAGTGATGATGGCCTCTGAATAAGCTGAGGGGTGCAAACTTGAAATTGGAATATATCCAGGTGACTAGAAGTTTGCAGTTAGAGTGGCTGCTGGGTGACCTTGTTGAGGCTACTTCAGAGATAAGCAGAACTCTGAGGACCCAAGCAAAGGGCCCATAAAGAAAACACCACCTGCCAGTGACTCCCAAACAGAATGGCCTGGGACCCACCCCAGCCTGACGGGACTGCCTGGCATGGCTTCTCTGTGAGGTTTACCTTCTTTGTTTCCTCAGATAATTCTCATATACTGCCACAGTTCAAGGCTCACTCTTTGCCTTCTATCAGAACCTAGCTACTACTATGCCTGATTTCCCAGGTGGTATCTATTTCATGAAAAGTGAGCCATGCAATAGCATAGGGAGCTTTTCCACTAGTTTGCTAAGTCCACCACAAGGAGATAGCACTAGATAACAAAAAAGTCGTAACACTGCCTTGACAAACAAGTATGCTGGTTTTTGTAAGAACTTTGGAACAGAATCAAATGCTTAACTTCAAAGAATCACATTTTTACTTTAAAATGTATAACATCTTTAAAACCAGAAACTTTATGTGGTGACTAAAGTTCCATGTTTCTCAGTTATTATTCCTTATATTGGCCTATATTGGCAAGTTATTTGAAAGGCAGAAAACAAGAGAAACAAAGATCTCCCCTCCATGGTTCACCACCCAGATTTGCACAAGAGCCAGGGTGGGAGGGACCCAGCACCTGCTCCCTCCTCGGGAATGCGTAAGCAGGAAGCCAGAATGGAGAGCAAAGCTGGGCTTGAACTCAGGCTGTGGCACGGGGTGCAGGCATGGAGCAGTGGCTTAGCCACCCCTCCACTAGGACCTTGAGTGAAAAACACTGGACAAGGTTACTTCATTTCAGGTGTAGCTGCAAACAAAAGGAGTTACACTAAGTCACTGTGGGCTAGAGCTTTTATCTCTGCGAGCAAATATTTACTGGGTAAGGATTCCTTATCTTGTTGCATATTCCTGTACTCACCACTTTTGTGCTATAGTGTGACCCTGAAATAAATAACCACCTTTTATTAGATAAGTAATTCCTAAATCAAAAAGCAGACTAACATGATAAACTGAAATCCGGTCATTACATTTAGGAATATTACACTAACCCTACGCTATTCTAGTTTCCTGCTATCAAGGTAGCATGATTTTGTGGACAGGGATGGCTGAACATGTACTTAGCCAGATCCCCAAAACCTAAAATTTGAGGTATCAGTGAGATAAGATTGGGCCTGGCGCAGTCGTCTAGTGACTAAAGTCCTCACCTTGAACGTGCCAGGATCCATGTAAGTTCATGTCCTGGTGGCCCTGCTTCCCATTCAGCTCCCTGCATGTGACCTGGGAAAGCAGTAGAGAACGGCCCAAAGCCTTGGGAGACCTAGCAGAAACTCCAGGTTCCTGGCTGTGAATCAGGAGACAGATCTTCCTCTCTGTCCCTCATCTGACTTTCCAATAAAAATAAATAAATCTTAAAAACAAGATCTACTTCAACAAAAAGGAAGCACTCAAAAACAGTTCTAGTGTTGCAGAGTACAAGGCAGGGCTGTGGTAGTGCACAATGAGGCCCACACACTTAGGCAAGGGCCTGGGGAGGAGCAGGGTGGTGGGCCGAGTGCCCCAGAAACATGTGCTGGGCCCAGTGGGATGGCCTGATGCTTGGCTAATTCCTCGCCTTGCATCCATGGATCCCATGTGGGTGCAGGTTCATATCCTGGCTGTTCCACTTCCCATCCAGCTCCCTGCTTGAGGCCTGGGAAAGCAGTCAAGGATGGTCCAATGCCTTGGGACCCTGCACCTACATGAGAGACCCAGAGAAATCTGGCTCCTGGCTTTGGATCAGCTTGGCTCTGGCTGTTGTGGCCACTTGCACAGATCTTTCTCTCTATATCTGCCTTTCCAAGAAAAAAAATCTCATTAAAAAAAAGTTGGACACGTACTAGTTATATTAAGATAAAGGGAAAAGAAATGACCCATTCCCAAGGGACAATTTCATTAAATCTTGTATTATATCAAGCTCTTATAAAAAAAAAAACCAAAAATAATGGAAATAGTTTTCTTCAGTCATTTCCAGATTATTGCTGCCTCAAAATGAATGAAACCAGAAATTGACCAAGGACTTTCCTCAAATCCTTTTTTTAATAGAATAACAAAGAGCTGGAGTGGTAAAGCTGGACATGTTAGGTTCAAATCCTGGCTCTGCTGCTTATAAATCGTTGGTTCCTATGTGCTTCAGGTTTCCTTGTCTGTACCGTATGTGCCTCAAGGGACTAATGGATGTAAACCATTCCTACAGGAATAACCTGCAGAGGGCATAGTAAGTCCTCACAAGATGCCAGTGGTCTGCCAACTGACCGTCAAAACGTATGGCACCTGCTGCTTGCATATTCTCTCAAAGATATGACCACCATTGCTCTGGAGGTGAGAGGGAGGCGGTGGAGACATGGTGGAGCAAGCCTGACCCTGCTGCCTCGGCTCCCCAGGAATTCCTTCCTTTCTGGTTGGAATTGATAGAGTAAAAGGTGACATTACTAAGAAATAGATTTGCAGTCCCTCATAGAAACTGAGAAAAACCTTTCTCTAATACTGCCATTTCCATTCTTTGGCACATCCAGGCCAATGGTGTCCAGTGCTGACCTGAGTAGCTCAGTGGTTAGGAGCAAAGGCATCAAGGTGCCCAAGCATGTGCTGACCTCTGCCGTTTCATTGGATGTGTGACCACTGGCAGATTGCTTACCAGCTCTACCTCACCCTCCTTATCTGTCAGAATCTGCCTAATTGCTACCTCATGGAGTCATTGCATTACTAACTTAATTCAGCGCCCAACAGAGTAACACAACTTATGCTGATTAAAGCAGTATCAAAGATTTCCTAGTATTAACAATATTACTTCTTTTCTTAAAGATTTAATTTTTACTACAAAGTCAGAAATACAAAGAGGAGAGACAGAGAGGAAGAGCTTCCCTCCGATGATTCACTCCCTAAGTGAGCACAACGGCCGATGCTATGCTGATCCAAAACCAGGAACCTGGAACCTCTTCCAGGTCTCCCACACCTGTGCAGGGTCCCAAAGCTTTGGGCCGTCCTCGACTGCTTTCCCAGGCCACAAGCAGGGAGCTAGATGGGAAGTGGAGCTGCCGGGATTAGAAATGGCACCCATATGGGATCCCGGCGCGTTCAAGGTGAGGACTTTAGCCGCTAGGCCACACTGCCGGGCCCAACAATATTACTTTTTAAAAAGTATATCTTAAGTCATGGGCCCTGCACGGTAGCCTAGTGCCTAACGTCTTCGCCTTGCATGCACCAGGAACCCGTATAGGCACTGGTTCGTGTCCTGGTGGCCCTGCTTCCCATCCAGCTCTCTGCTTGTGGCCTGGGAAAGCAGTGGCGGACCCAGAAGAAGCTCCTGGATCCTGATCAGCTCAGCTCCCGCCACTGCGCCCTCTTGGGAAGTGAATCAGTAAACGGAAGATCTTCCTCTCTGCCTCTCCTCCTCTATGTATATCTGACTCTCCAATAAAAAATAAACCTTTAAAAAAAGAGGGGATATCTTGAATCTCACCTCCCCTTTCTCCCCGACCCCAGCCTCCCCACTGTCTACCTGGGTGCTACACACAGCTAGAACAACACTAAGGAAGAGGCACAAATATGACATCTGGCAGTCTGACCTCAGCCCAAGATGAAGTATTTTAGACAGATATGCTTCTGATAACAACTTGGGTTAGATTATCTCTAAGTAAAGAAGAAAATAAGATGAGCCACCTCCTTCCTGTCCTCTGTATAAATTACTCATCAGCTTTGACAGTGTCGGTGATCAGCCATTGCTAAGAACAAACTCCGCTTACCAAAACAGCCATCAGTCACACCCGTGTCCCCTGGGCTGCTGGGGAAGGACCAGCAATGGCTGGCCGAGCTGCAACAGGACAAACTGGTTTTTGAGAAATTTTAAAGCAAACCAAGTAGTTGTATAAAATTTAAATTTTATGACCATGTTTGGACCTTTACACACTTAACACAATGGAAATGTTCATATTCATTTTTCCTCCCTAAAGGAAAATTTTGAGTCATCACTTTTGTTGTACAGAATAGAAATCTCAGTTCAAGTTTCTAAAGAATGCAAATAACAGACACAATTTTACTTCCAGAGTCTGAAGTCATCAGCATGATTGTGTTGTCCTGTGTCAGGCTGCAGTCACACTGCTGCACAGCCTCCGCCCAGCGCAGCTTCCTGGGCCAGTGAGCGCCCAGTTCACGTGTCGATCAACTGCAGCCTGCTGATCTGGTTCGACGCTTTGACAAACGCCTGGTGCCGATTGCACAGCACTGCCAGGCAGACCGGGATGATGCAGTAACCCACAGTCTTGGGGTCAGCTCTCGTGCAGGAGTAAAGAAACAAAAACATCTGTAAGTAAGGGATCAGAAAAATAACTGTCCACAGCCAGAAAGGCAGGGAGAGCAACCGCGCCTTCAAGGAGTGTGTCCACGTGGCTCCTCCGAGGGGCTCCTCCGGGTGCTGCTGGATGTGCTCCAGGGCCAGCCTGTTGTAGGTCTCGTTGATTTCAAAGACGTAGTAAAAGGCGGCTGCGCTGGCCAGCAGGTACAGTCCCACTCCAACCCATCCCATCCGCTGGCGGAAGTTCATCATTCTCCATGCTCTGTGCCTTGGATGAAACCAACAGGTTAGGGTCTGGTTGACTGTCCGACAGCTCCCGGGCCCTCAGCCACCCCCACGCTGCCTGTGTCTGCAAGCATGTTTTATGTAATGTCACAAAAGAGTATCAAGGGCTTCGGGGTACAGAGTTCTGCTTTGTATGTGACTCCCACAGGGTAATTAACCGTTACATCCCACTTAAGGAAGCCCGACCACGTTCCGTTCGAAACTGCAACCAAACTAGTTGGTTTCCCGTGGGACCTTTCACTTGCACCCTGGAGGCTCCCCTGACGTGGCAGGACCCCTGGGCAGGCGCCCCCCGGGGAAGGCAGGCACCCCTCAACTTACAGTGGTCCCGAAAACCGTGCCGGCCCCACGGCCAGCGCCCAAGCATCGCCCGGCTCCGAGTACTCGGGTGACGTGGGCATTTCACGGAGAGCCACCGTCCACCAACGGCCCGGGTCAATGGCTCGGAGCAGGCGAGCCTGACCCAGCACGGCGGCCACGCGCCCCGGGCCGGGGCCTCCGGCCGAGCGCCCGGCCTCGCCGCCGCCCGGAGCGCTGCACCCCGAGCCCGCCCGTCGCCAGCGACTCCCACCGCTCACCTTCCTGTCCCGAGGGGCCCGGATGCCGCCGCAGCCGAGACTTCCGGGTCAGGCCGGAAGCGCTCGCGCCCCGCCCTGCAGTGCCCGCCCCCTCGTGACGTCAGCGCGCCCCGCCGGCCACCTGGCCTGGCCCGGAAGCGAGCTCCCTGCAGGCAACTGGCACGGAGACCCGAACCCACGACGCACGGACCTCGGCCATCCTCTGCCTTGTGGTACCAAATCACATTTTTGTGCCATTCTCAGTCTGAGCCCTTGTCCTTAAAGCTCATTGACTAGGAAAGTAGTTCTACACTGATAACTTACAGTCACTGCCTATGATTTGTTTTCTGTCATACAACATTGTTATCGCTCACTTGTGTGCATAGCCCCCAAGGTCAGACAAGGCGTAGGTGGTTATTCCGCCCAGAGCTGATTGAGTTGGCTAGTTTGATAACAGGTGCACATGTGGCATATCACATTTGCTCTTGTGCCGTCCGTAGTTTTGAGGTTCGTATTGCCCCATATTTGATGGTGACCATGAGTGGTAAAGATATTAAGGGGGCTGGCATCATGGCATATCAGGTAAAGCTATGCCCATGGCACTGGCATTCCATATGGGTATCAACTCAAGTCATGGCTGCTCCACCTCCAATCCAGCTCCCTGCCAGTGTGCCTGGGAAAGCAGCAGAAGATGATATGGTCCAAGTGCCTGGGCCCTTGCATCCATTTGGGAGACCTGGAAGAAGCTCTTAGCTCCTGGCTTCAGATCCACTCAGCTCTGGCCATTGGTGCCATATGGAGAGTGAATGAGTATATGAAAGATTTCTCTCTCTTTCTGGTTTTCAGATAAATAAGTAAATCTTTATTTAAAATATATATTATTTTCTGCATAACTCAGACCTGTGTTTTGTTTAATCAGAAAAGAAGGCAGATAGAGGGCAGATGTTGTGGTACTGCAGGTTACCCCACAGCTTGCGACACCCCCATTCCACATCAGTGTCAGTTCAGGTTGTGGCTACTCAGCTTCAATCTGGCTTCCTCTTAATGTGCTGGGAGGCAGCAGACGATGCTCAAGGACTTGGGTTCCTGTTGCCCAGATGGGAGACTGCTGCAGTTCCTGGCCCAGGACCGACTGTCAAGAGCATTTGAGGAGTGAACCAATGATGGGAGACCTGTGCTTCTCTCTCCTTTACCCTCTCTCTCACCTCCCCCATCTCCTCTCATTCGTTTTTAAAAATACAGAATTGAGTACTGAGATTGATAAATTTGCAACTGCCATCTTTAGCCCTACATTTTTGACATGTTTAGCTAATGTCTGTAGTTCTTAAACCATCTGCATAATACTATAAAATTATAACTGAAAAATTGTAACTGAAGTTATAAAATTAAAAATGGATAGTAAAAGGAACTTGTCTGTTTTTGCTTATGTCAGGTGTCAAGCAAGATGTCATTGCAACAAAGGTTTCCTTAAGCCTGGGTCTGGAAATCACCGAGCTCCCCACACAGTTCTTTGGCCTGCTTCGTCCTGCAGCCCATGAGCAGGAAGTAGGCTGAGTGACGCGGCAGGAGGAGTCTTTTGAAGCAATAAAACCATGAAGTGAAACAAGACGCTTCCCGAGTAGTACACGCAGCAGTGCAGACATGTCAGCGTGCTGAGCGTGGAGAAGTGCAGGAAAGATGACGGGCACGCACCAGGGCACGCCAGGCAGAGAGCCTGTCAGGACACTTTCTCCCGTCATCCTCCCGTTAAAATTCTGTTAAAGGAAAACTCAGAAGCATGTGTGTGAAAATGCACAGATTAGGAAAAACTTGTTCAAGGTGGAAAAGCAGAGTGAGTAGCTGGGCCAGACCCCTGTCCTCTATTCTTTTTTTTTTTTTTTTAAGATTTGTTTATTTTTATTGGAAAGTCAGATATACAGAGAGGAGGAGAGATGGAGAGGAAGATCTTCCGTCCAATGGTTCATTCCACATAGGGCTGCAATGGCCGGTGCTCAGCTGATCTGAAGCCAGGAGCTCCTCCAGGTCTCCCACACAGGTGCAGGGTCCCAAGGCTTTGAACTGTCCTCTGCTGCTTTCCCAAGCCACAAGCAGGGAGCTGATGAAAAGAGAGGCCACTGGGATTAGAACCATTGACCATATGTGATCCCAGTGCACGCAAGGCAAGGACTTTAGCCATTAGGCTACTGCACCGGGCCCACCTGTCCTCCCTCTTACTCCAGGGCCTTCATTGTCACTGACCCTGAGGGCTGCTCTACCCAGAGCCTCCCATGGGAAGGTGTGGACCATGTTCCATCCCCATGTGCTCCAATGCAGCAGAGCCCCGTCACAGACCACACCTGGTAGCAGGGGAAGAGAACCCAGGGGGTCCCAGGGCAGCTGGGAGGGTACTCTGTAAAATGAATGGAAGTGGGGTGTATGTTGGGTGCAGCACTTAGGGCTCAGCTTGGAGCACACACATTCCCTGCTAGAGTACTCGGTCCAAGTCCTGGTTCTACTCCCTATTGCAACTTCCTTCTCAGGCACACCTCGTTAGTTGAAAGAACAAGCACTGGGACCCCTCGCTCCACGTGGGCAACCGGGGCTCCTGGCTGTGGCCTGGCCCAGCCCTGCTGTTGCAGGCATTTGAGGAGCAAACCAGCAGATGGGAGGGTTGTATCTCTGTCTCTGCCTTTGAAATAGATAAAAATTTGGGGAAAAAGAACAGAAGTGATGGCATGAGGAAAGTTGGAAAGTTGCTGAAATGTAGGGTAAAGTCTAATAAAAGAACCTAATTGGAATGTGCAACTTCCATTTTAGATTAAAAAACTTAGTCTGTTTCTGCTAGGACAGAATGTCATGACTGCGTTCATTTAACTTCCCCTGCTCTCCATAGTGAAAGATGATGGCATGGACTCAGGATAAATTAAAAGATGGGAGTCTGGGCCTGGTGCGGTGACCTAGCAGCTAAAGTCCTCGCCTTGAATGCACTTGGATCCCATATGGGTGCCAGTTCTAATCCTGATGGTCCCAGTTCCCATCCAGCTCCCTGCTTGTGGCCTGGGAAAGCGGTCAAGGACGGCCCAATACCTTGGGACCCTGCACCTGTGTGGGATACGTGGAAGAAGTTCCTGGTTCCTGGCTTTGGATTGGCACAGTACCGGCCATAGCGGTCACTTGGGGAGTGAATCATAGGATGGAAGATCTTCCTCTCTGTCTCTCCTCTTCTCTATATATCTGACTTTGCAAATATATATATATATATAATATATATATATGAGTTTGCTCTTGCTTCATGGTTTGTTTGTTTTGTTTTAAAGATTTATTTTTATTTGAAAGGCAGAGTTACAGGGAGAAGAGACAAAGAGAAAGAGAAGCCAAAGGCAGGAGCCAGGAGGTTCTTCCTGATCTCCCACATGGGTACATGGGCCCAAGGACTTGAGCCATCTTTTGCTGCTTTCCCAGGCCGTGTGCAGGGAACTGGAATGGAAGTGGAGCAGCCAGGAGTCAAACAGGTACCCTTATGGGATGCTGGTGGAAAGAATGCAGAAGCTTGCCCGAAAATGTCAAGGCACTGGCCCCAGTCTGCTTCTGCTTCTGCCTGTGTCACCATTCAGAGCTTACAAGTCCCCATCACACAGGTCGGCCATTCGTCGGAAGAAGCCCTAGTGTGTTCAGCTGCCGTTTGAGTGTGTACACCCAAAGGGTGCGATCTCTGCCTTGCGGACCCACTCAGGGCCCACAGCGCTGGCTGGTGTCGGGTACTGGTGTTGGCCAGACGCTGAGCACCGTTGGACACATTTGATCCCAGAGCAGCCCTTGTCTTACCTCTCCCCCGTTTACTGGTGAGGCTGAAGCACAGAGAAGCAACTACAGGCGGTTTCCAGAATCCTCCATCTATTCTGTGGCTATGCCCCGGGCCTCCTGAAGCCTGTCAGGAACAGACCATCATTTCCCGTGTTTCACGGAGGGGAAGCCTGAGGCTTGGAAAGATTCCGTGCACATTTTGATTTTGTAGAACTTTTCTGATGACACACATCTCGTGAACAGCACGTAATTGTTAAAGCAGGGGCGCAGGGTGGGTGTGGAGCACCACCGTCAGGACACTGCCTGGAACACCTGCATCTCCTATGGAGGGGCTTGCTTCTAGCTTCCCATCAGTGCACACTGTGGGAGGCAGCAGGCGAAAGCTCCTCGTAGCACCAGCAGACCAGGACATCTCGGCCTCTGCCAGCCTGCTGTGACCACAGGAGCCAGCCTGAAAGTTCTTAAAGGCAAAAGCCACCACAGTCTCAGAGTAAAGCAAATGCCTGTGACTTCGTGCTGATATAAACAAAGAGCAAATAAAGAGGTACAGGCAAAGAGACAGACCTTTCTTACTGAAGAATTTCATTCCGGATAACTTAGGGGGACTCCCCAACCAGGGGTATGCATTCCCTTTCCCTCCGAAAAGGGCCTGGAGCTGGCAACTTAGTGACTCCCAGATGAGGGCACTGAGGAGGGGACACAGTGCGTTCTGAGCGGAGAAGCACAGCAGGCACCGGTGACTCATGCTGACAGCACAGCTCTCGTGAAGGGTGAGAAGGTGAATATGTTCCACCTTAAAACCCCTAACCCCAGTCTCATCAGTGAGAAAGAAGCCAGAAAAGCCCAATGCGAGGAATATTATGCAAAGTACCTGCCCAGGAGTGGCCAATACTACTGAGATTGTGGAAAAAACAAACAAACAAATGAGAAACCCTGAGAACCTAAGAGTGATGACTTGAGGGGGAGCGGATTCTGGAACAGTCGGCATTGATGGGAAAGTGAGACCCAGAAACACTAAGGAGTTGAATTCATAGTAATGTTTCTGTGTCAGAATCCTGGATGTGCTATGCACACCGTGGCCAGGGCAAAGTTAAGTACACAGGAAGTGTACTGTAATTAAAAGAGGAAAGCACGGAGCCTCTGTAAGTCTAAAGCTCTGCC